GTGTGTGTGTGTGTGTGTGTGTGTGTGTGTGTGTGTGTGTGTGTGTGGGGCTTGAGGAGCTTAGCCCCGCTGCAGAGGAAGTGTGCGCTGCAGCATGATTAAAAAAATAAGTTAGAAAAGTGCTGATAAAAGAATCGATAACTTTGGAGCCTATCAATACTCTGCTCTTAAATAATTTAGCCCTGCTGCCCCTTTAATCTGGGGTTGGTGCACACGTCCCTGGTCATGTCATCCATCTGGATCACGAGGCGGCGTGGTGGTGGTCTGAGCTGTGTCTGGCGTTCTGTGAAGGTTATCTGCTGGGCTGCTTAGTGGAGTACCAGTCCATTGTGTGACAGAACGAACAACTTGTGCATCTCGAGACCAAAAATCTACCCTCAAATCACCAGCCAATTACCCAATTAAATTACAAATTGGATCGCGATAGCTGATTCCATCATCTGACAACCACGGTTGCAAATCTCATTTATTCCTCTCCGCTCCAGATACCCAGCTGTCTCTTGACACGCTAGCGGACCACTGAGACCAGCGAGCTCAGACTCGAGGGGTGACTGTTACCGCCATGTGAAGCGACATCTGTGTCACTGTGTGTGTTCTCCCCCCCCCCCACGACTCGAGCTCCGCTCTGAGTGGTTGGGAGGTAGATGACATGTCGTTAGATAGCCTGTGCGGTGCTCAATGCCCGGGAATGTTACTGTAGTCGTGGTAAGCTGTCACCGGGCTGGAATCCACTGACTGTTGTTAGCTGGTGTTCGGGCCTGGCTGTCAGCCATGCCACGCTGCTCAGTGGAGCGTGCCTCGACTGATAATACGGCTATTGAGTAGAGTAACCCCCCCCTCCCACCCCCTGGATTCAGAAAGCATTTTCCACCCAGCTGTGACTTACCAGCTGTTTAAAATGGAAGGAAAAAACTTCTGACGTGATCATTAAGATTGCCAAACACTGCATGTCATGGCTACTAGTTTCTTTTCTTTTTTTCTCAAATCATTTGAAATGAAATGGATGGCTCCTCCCCCCCCACCCCTCCCTCCTGAACATATTGTCTGAATATTTAAAATCCTATTTGATTTACCACATGCATCAGTATAATCAGCAGACTTTTTTTTCCTTAACGCAGCCGCTGCTGTCGCTCTCGTCCTAGTTTTCTGTCTCGGCCTCCCCTCGCTGTCTGCGCCTTTTGTTTGGGCTTATTGTGTGATATACATTTTAATCATTTCATCAGGCACTCTGTTGGCCACAGGTGAGCGTTAGATGGATGTTTATTAAAGGAGCACTGATCACTATCTGGCCCCCTGAAAATGGCCTTATTGATTTTGTTCACAGCGGGGAATAACAGCCTGAAGGTACGGACTGTGTTTGAGGTCCATGTTGTCCTTCATTTGCACAAAACTGCTTCAGCTCTCTGTCGGTGAATGCAATCTGTGAGAGATCTCTGTTCCACAAGTTTGAGAGGGCAACTTTTTTCCCTCTTCAAGTCACTGCTTTTACTGAATTTGAAAACTAACTGGAAAAAATAATTTCGTTGCTGGAATAAAGATGGTTGATCAATAGATCAACAAGAAAGGAATCCACAGTTTTTACAATCATTCAGTCGGTGAAGTAATTTGGCTTGACTCTTTGTGTCTCGATGTGATGATGTGGTGCTTTACTCTTTTTCACATCGCTGTAATTCAAATATCAAAGTTGCTTCAGTAATTACTCACTGGGCTGGTAATGATGATAATTGGTAGTCACACAACAGGGCTGCATGTTGTGTGAGTTTGACGCATGCTGCACAGCAGTATTGTGGCTGAACAGATCTACTGTAGTCACTTCCGTCTTTGTTCCCCTTACTTGTTGTTTTTCGTCTTGCGCTTTTAATTTCAAGTGTCTTCAAAACACTCGGTATGCACAGATGTGCTGACAAGCTAAAGTAGAGATTTGAAGCAAACCTTCCAAGCATACAGTAAGGGAAATTGTTCTGCCGCGGTGTTAGAGGAATCGGAAGGACACTGAAATGGCAGTTTAAAAAAACCAAAACTTTTTATAACTGCTAAGCATTTGAAAAGTCTTATGAGTTTTTGTTTTTGTAACGTTGTGGCGTCCCCTGAGTCTCAAAGTCTTGTCATCAATGGATCTTTTGAAGTGCAATGCTGCAGTTTGAATAGTTTTCCTCTGGTTGGTAGCAGTGCACACATCTACACCTCTGATTGAGTAACAGACTTTAGAGCTTCAGTAAGTAATTGTTGAACTGGAAGGGCTAGTGGGCATGCATGATGCTGGCGTTGGCAACATTTCTGAGGGTTTCTCACAGGAGAAGGGGGGGTCTTATTGATGTTTCATTTAGTAAGCCGGGTAGCTTGTGTTTCTCTCTGTCCTGTCCAGCCTGTTGCTACTGATTCACAGAGACTTGAAGGGGAACTCATCTGAGGTGTCAAACAATACATCTTGATTTATAACTGAAGACTTTATTAACAAAAATGATATTTATGCAATATGATGCCGGTAAAGAAAAGAGAAGCTTTACAAATATCAATTGTGTGTGTGTGTGTGTGTGTGTGTGTGTGTGTGTGTGTGTGTGTGTGTGTCAATGTGTATATATGTATATTTTCTTATTTAAAAAGTAAATTAAAGTTTTTAAATGAATATCTATATAGCTACTAGTTGCAAGATATTTACTCAATATATTTTTTTCAGGTCATTATTTTCTTGATGACATGATTGATACCACTCTGTATGTTAAGTGCGAAGCTGGAGCCAGGCGGCAGATAGCTTAGCATAAAGATTGACTAGCACGGCTCGATCAGGAGGGTTAAGAGCAAATGTATTAACTTGGTTTCACTGCTGTTATATCAGCACATCGGTCAGGTGACAAACCCCGATTTCCAAAGCAATCGCTGACTTTCACTTTGATTTTTGAATTGCCACGTCTTATTGAGAATCGGCATGAATGCTACGGCTGCATTAAAGCGTGAAGCATCGATCCGAGTCAGCAGATAGACTCCCAACATAAGCCCCTTTAACGTAGCCTGACTCTTGAGCAGGTACTCTGCACGAAAGGTACGGAGAGGGAATTGGGGGGGGGGGGGGGGGGGGCAATTATGTCTGCTCAAGTTAAAAATGTTCCTACTCGAGTGAAAATATGTAGTTATTCTGAGTTGCATGACTCGCTGAATGTGAGGACACTGGGGGCAGAAGATAGATGGCTTGAGGGGAATAAGAGAAACTGGAGCTCCTGATGAATTAGCGAATCTTATCGATGCGAGTTGTCACGCATACAGTCGCCTTTTGTTCTCACAGCAAGCCTCAGCCGGGGGACTCGTCCATCGGGCCGCTTGTGGCCAGAAGCACACAGGAACCATTCCAGAGGGCAAAGCCAGAAAGTCACTTAACATTGTATCTAAATCCAGAATCCTCCTTATCTTGGAGTGATAAAGTTCCCCTGACACTTTGAATGGAAAAAAAAAACCTACTCTGCACCGCTCGCATATCTAATTTATAAGATTTAGTTCATATTGCTATTTCGCTGTGTTGTTTTTTTGTTTTAGGATTCATCATACATTGTGTTAACATATTGTCTTTGAAAGCATCCATAATTGTCTCAACGGCTTGCCCTGTTTAGTTTCATTGTGGTTGGACTCATTTCCAGACCTGTTCAATCTAACAACAAAGCCCCCCCAAAGAAAATCTATATTTCATTCAAAAATGTCTTTTCCTGTTAGAAAATCATTTGTGTTGCTGCCTGTAAACTTTTCTAGCTCCAGTCTGTACAAAGCTGTGCCACATTGTAGGAAAGTGGACAAGAAAAGTACTCTTCAATCCACACAAAGGTGTTCTAAGGCAATGTCCAGAGTTTGAATTTGGCCGTGCCTCCACTGGAGTAAACTATTTACGGACTTACTGTCCTGTTCATAATATGAGCTTACAAAGTCTATTTGTGTGCCCAGTCGACTGTGCAGGCCAATCCAATGTAGGACAAAGCACGGTGCCGGACCAACCAGACACTGAGTCCTTTGTCGTGGCTTTGACCTCTTTCTTTTTCTTTAAGAGGGCAGTGTGTGCATGTCCGTGTGCAAGCAGCAATTATTACTGGACAGTGAAGAGGTGTCTGAGAGTGTTGTGTGTCTTTGTTGCTCTGTGTGACATGTGCTGGTCCGAAGCAGGCCGGGAATTGCGTCACGATGTTGCTTCTCTCCTGCACACTCGTCTTTGTCTCAAAGGAAGACTTTGACGCAATTAACTTGTGGCCTGGAACGGGCTGTGACTGCTGTCAGCTCCTGCAGACTTCGGCTACTACTAATACTAGTGTAGCCTAATACTACCTCCACTAATACTACTAGTGTAGCCTAATACTACCTCCACTAATACTAGTAAAACAGATTTAAACAGGAAGAATTTAGTCTTTAATTAAAATATTCATAAATACATTTATAAATACTTCTTTTGTGCCTCATATTTCCATATCACAACTTGCTGGTGAGGCACGTGCCTAGATCATTTGAATATGAACAGCTTTATCGTAGGACATTTGTTGTTTGATTGTAAAAGATGAGAAAACGTTTCCTTTCGGTAGACCACCAGGGATTAAGTACACAGTTTAGCACTTTAAAATCTGGTTCACGCTGCAGTGTTGAACAGTTGCCGTTTCAAAAGTCTGTCTTTGAACGTGTTTCTGTTTTAAACCTTGAAGTTACAGCAGATGTTTTTGTTTTGTCTCTCCTCCTCAGGTGACTCCATGCGGCAGGCTTCTGGAGACTTTGCAGAGGACCCTTGCTCCTCCGTGAAGAGGGGCAACATGGTCCGTGCTGCCAGAGCCCTGCTGTCAGCAGTCACACACCTGTTGGTGCTGGCAGACATGTCTGATGTCTACAAACTTCTACTGCAGCTTAAACTGGTGAGACAGTTCTATTATTCTGCATAATATACACACAAGCTTAGTTCGAATTTCAGAAAATGAAATTATCGACTGGATGGAAAACCGCCATAATGTATCCCCTCTATGAAGACCAGTATTATCAACTGATTTAGTTATTTGAGCACTGAAATTGCACTGATAGTCCATTTGCACATAGTGCATCCTGATACTAACGATCACTGCATTAAGTTGTTCTCGTTGATGTCACCTCAGCTGGCTGGAACGCGTCACCTCTTGAAACACGAGATGACGGGCTGCAGCAAATTAAAATCACAGCTTCATTTGATTGAAATCTTGCAAATCTGCAAATGTTGCTGTGTTAAGCCCTAGTGCGCTCCTGGAGATAATGAAAGTGCAAACATTTTCCCAATGAGTTACCGGTTAATGTTCATTTAGTTTAAATCTTCTAACTCGAGGTAAAGAACTGTGTTTTTTTTTTTCTTAACTATTGTCTTAATCTTTTTTTTTTTTTTTTAAATCAGGTGGAAGAAAATCTTGTCAAAGTGCGTAACGCTGGAACGGAGCAGGACCTTGGGATCCAATATAAGGCCTTAAAACCAGAGGTGGATAAGCTGAACATGATGGCCTCCAAGAGACAGCAGGTAATGTACAGTTAGCAAAAAGAAGAGAGACCGGGGTGGGGGGGAGCAGGGGAGTCTGATGGGTTTAATTGGGTTGAGAGGTTATCGTGTACCTGAATGGGTGTTAGTGGTCTTTTCACTCATAACAAAAATATGCTCTGGCAGAGCAAATGGGAAGTGAAACAATAAGAGGGGAGCGAGCATGAAGAAGGGTGCCTCATTCTTGAGCTGGACGATTAGATGCAGTAAGCATGGACAATCTTCTTATTGCCAATTGCAGTGAAGTAGGCCAGGGGTGCAGGACAACAGCATAAAAGGCCTGACTCCAAATGTGACGGAACCCATTTCCTTGTGAAACGGCACATCATGTTTCTCCACTGTGATAAAAGTGGTAGTCGACATTAAAGCGTGTTTCATGACGCTTTCCTCCAGATGAAACAACCCCACAAGGTTCTTGTTGCAGATCACCCTGCTAATAAATGGAAATAAAGAACGCTCCGTTAATGCACATTTTATATACATATAGCTTTCTTTTTCAACATTATTTGTCAGAATTATCATTAAACTAACTGCGGAGCATTTAGTGTGTGTTTCAGTAATGTTTTTAACCTTAACATCCACAGTGAATGGTGGTCGGACTTAAGTGGTTGTTAACTAATAGCTTTACACAATACTGTCAGCAACATCATGAACTTCAATTATAAAGTTCAAGTTGAATGTGAGAGTATGAAATGTTTATTGCACAGCCTGTCCTTGGTTAAACCTGGATCTATCGCATGTGCACAAGCAGCGTGTTAAGACAGCAGATGGATATTTTTCCGATATGCAACGGCAGTACTACAAACAAAAGTTGTGCTCTAACATTTGGCTTGCATCGCTTCAAACCAGCTTTCACCACTAAATCACTCCGCTGGTGTCACACAGTTGAAGCAGTGATGAATACCAGCTTCATGACCAGAGAGCGCTTCTTCTTCATGCCCTCCTTCTTTTGAATGGAAGACTTTCCAAAATGATCACTGGCTATCTTGTGATGAAATTGCTTTTTACTTGTCGTTGCACTTTTTTATGGATGGCAACATCTTTTCACTCAAGGTGAATTCCAGAAGGTAATGGGACTCAAAGACCATTGTCCATTGTTTTCTTTCTCGGAGCGTGTCTTTCCTTCCTCCTTCATTACCACCCTGTATGTACGTATAGACCTCCAGTCTAACCCTGTATGTGTTGTTTTTTTATTTTCAACTCGCATTGCTAGGAGCTGAAGGACGTCCACCACAAGGACCAAATGGCGGCTGCCCGCGGGGTGCTCCAGAGGAACATCCCCATGCTGTACACGGCGTCCCGGGCCTGCCTCCAGCACCCTGACGTGGCGGCCTACAAGGCCAACCGTGACCTGATCTACAAGCAGCTGCAGCACGCCGTCTCCGGCATCTCCAACGCCGCTCAGGCCACTGCCTCCGAGGACTCGGCGCTCAATCACCCGCCGGGCGGCGGAGAGCTCGCCTACGCCCTCAACAACTTCGATGTAAGTCCAACGAGGGGCTTACGTTTGCCTATTTGTTTTGCCCCCCCTTGTCCACACAGACATCCAGGTATCTGCCAGATTAATAAAAACATAAACTTTAAGATTATATTTTTCCCTACAGCAGTAGTTGTTTACAGAGATGGATGAGGGCCTGCACAGAAAGTTTAGTTAGGTCAGATTCTTCGTTTGTAGAACCTACCAGCTGAATCATAAAATGACCAAAACCCCCGAAGACTTGAGGTGGAAATAAGGACAAGATATGTGGAGAAATTGGGACATGGCTTTGGGGTACATTGAATATGTTCTTGAGTCACTACCACTCCATTCCTTGGGTTGTGCTTCTATGTCAAATGAAGGAGATTTGCACACATCTTGTGAATAACTGAACCACTTCTCTGCTGGTTGGTCCGTTTTAAAGAATACAGCTGATGCATATTTTATCCTCAGCGTTATTAGAAATGGATGAAACTGAAATAGTACCTTTTTAATATTTTTATATGGGAAGATGTGAGAACATGCACTGTATGGTGCTTAAGATGCACCATTGACATTTTGTACAAGGAGGAGCCTTGATTCACTAAAAACAGAATCTTTCCATGTCTGGTCCCTCATGTATTCATGCTTAAAATCTTTATTCCTCTGAAAGTCAGTGTCATCGAGCATCTACTCCATATCCAGCGTCTCCCTGAAATCCACAGTGGACTCGCATAAACTTAATTCAGTTTTGAATTCATTGTTTTTGCTCCATTCCCATGCTCTCCAATTCTTCATACAGCTGTGATGGAGTCAAAACTGCACTCGGCCTCGAACCGAAAAGTACATTTTTATGAAGTTCATATGTAAGAAATATATCGTAGCATTAATAAGAATGTGAAACTAAAAATATGTTTGAAGCGTATGATGTACTAGTCGTAATAATATTGATATGAAACCACATGAAGATAGCAGCTGGATAGAACACTGAGCTAATCATCTAAATGCTGCCCGCGGTGATAAATGCAAAGACGATTAACTTGATTCCATTTCTGTTTTTACTACTGCGTCTGACTTGCAAAGCACCTTTTTATTTCCAGATTTGTTAACATCCAGACCGCTTCCAAAGACTTTGAACGGATCCACAACGACAAATGAAGTGTTGATCGGCGAGCTCTGCAGAAGCACGTGCTTCCCTCACCGTGTGTCGATCAGCTGTTTAGTCATTTAGCCATGTGCAACTTGACGTGTTAATCCTGCTGTGACTGCCGTTTGCCCACAAAGGATTGATGCAATCTGCATACTCATATTTTGCGTGCCTGTGGCCGCATGACGCACGGTTAAATGAATTACTCATGACCCTTTTTTGCATGCATCTTAAAGGTGGTTATTGCAAATCAAGGGCTTTCTTTTGGTGCAGCCTGGGATGGAAGTGTGTGTGTGTTTGACACAGACAAGAGGAGAGCAACTATTTATAGTAAATAGATGTTTATAATCATTAATTGATAGGATCTCTGGCGATTTACCGGATGCCTAGTTTCACACATGTGATGTGCATTTACACGCGTAAACCCTCCGTGCACACTGCTGCGATAGGATCTGAGACTTTCACTTTCCAGCCAATGCTGCTCCTGAAGTGAGCTCATCGGCAATCACAAACTATATGCGCACAATTTGAATTTGTACAGTTTACTTACGTAGGTTTATTTTTCTAAAATATGATTCTCGCCTCTGACTTCCAAGCCGATATGATCGTAAAATAGAAACCTTTTATTTAAACAGGAAGTCTCTGGAGATAAACAATCTCTTATTCCAGAGTAACCGGGCCAAAAGGAAAATAGTTGCGTGCTTTGATTTTCATGCCCCGCTACCGTCAGTGAAACTGCTTCGGCCCTCTATTTGAGTCGGTAGCTTTTAGCAAGACTAATGAAACATTTACTTAACCTAAGCTACTTTTAAGTAGCAAACGTGGTATTTAGGCATTCCGCTTAAAGCATCCTTCATCAAGTGCACATTTCTTTTATATACTCGGCACTGAGTATATAAAAGCATGCCGTTGCAGCTTCCAACAAATCTGTGTTTTTAGAGAAACGATATCCCTAATGGATTGAGGAAGGGAACGCTAGTGTACTTTACAGCAGTGAGTAACAGCCCCATGTGTGTGTTTGTGTTCAGTAATGAGCTGATGACCATTCAGGCTGAAGGATTACAGTCATGGAAATCTATGCTACACATCAATTATTAACAGACCGAGGGCATGTCAACTGATTAATCTACATAAAACATGCGTCTCAGATTGATTATTTCACAGACAGCCGAGCAGAAAGTCACTCCCCCAAAAAAACTGAGACGCGAGCCTTTTCCCAGACCGGCTCCTTTCTGGTGCCCGATTTCAAGTGCAAGGCAAAAAAAAAAGCAAATGAGTCAAAAAAAAAAAAACCCAATCTCTCTCTCTTCTTCTTCCATGTCTTTTTATGTGCCTGTTGCCATGGTGATATGACACGCAAGCAGATGAGGTCAGATGAGATGGGGGGGGCTATGACAGAGGGCGGGCTGCCTAATAAACCATATTTCTATCAGAGGAATTGTTTTAATATTTCGGTAGCAACAAGGCATCTGTGGACACCCCGAGTGCGTCTGTCATTGGGGGGGGTTGTCTTTCCTCCTCTCAGCTGCCACGAGTCGCGGTGATACCTGAACCCTCTGCAGTGCCTCTCCAGCATGTCAACTAGTTGCCTCTCTCAGCAGGCTGTGAAATCAGACGTCTTAAGTGTTCTCTCTCTTGCCCTGCAGACATAAAGGAGAGTGCAGCGGTTTACTACGGCACTCCTGTGACTCCAAAAGAAAGGGCCGCAAAGGCTATAAAGTCCAAATCCTTTCCACATAAAGGATTATATATTCATATAATTACATAGTCATACGCACATCTGTTGCCTAGAATGAATCTTGTAGTCTACGTTGGGACTACTGCTTTCTTTATGATTCATTCATCGGGTCCTTGGAGGAACTTTTCTGTTGCTGTGCTTTTTACCGGTTCAGGTGATTGGTTACACGTTGTAAAAGTGTCTTTTTTTAAGCTGTATTCCTCTTTAATAAGTCGAGGAAGTGGTTATCAGCAGAGCGGAGCAGCAGGCCTAGCCTTAAAGAGGCTCGCCAGGGCTCTCTTTTGTACTTTGGCTACTGACGTGGGTTTTTGGGGAAGCCATTGTCTTTTTGTCTGCAGGACACAGATGAACAGAGGCCTTCTCCCGAGTTAAATTTAGAGAAGTCCTCTTGGAAGGTTGAAGTACTTCTGACAACAGAATTTGGATTCGGACGTGTTTGTTTCCTGTTTTCGTGCTCTTGCTCATCAGGGTTAGAGCGTTTGGTTAAATAAAGACATTTTTCCTTTGGTTCTAAATTTTTAGTTAGTTTTGAAGCGAATGGAGCACACTTTGTTTTTTCCGGAGCGGCCCCCTGGGATCACACTGCCGGCGCTGAGGTTTGCACCGGCTGAAATTGAGTTTCTGCAGCCGCTAACCGAGGGTCTGCTGAAGGATATCACTGCAACACGATGCAGAGACGTCAAAACTGTTACTACTTCACATTCTGTTGATAATGTTGTTTTAAACACAAAATCTGGCCTTTTATTGCACCTTTAACACGTTCTTCCCTTCAGGTTTCTCCATTCATTCTACATGTCGGGTTTCTCTCTTCGGGCTCGTAGAGGGAGAGACTTTTTGACTTTTGCCATTTTTTTTTAGCTCCCTGTGTAATTTCCCCTCTGACCTTTTTTTATTTTCGCTTACAGAAACAAATCATCGTGGACCCGCTGGCGTTTAGCGAGGAGCGCTTCCGTCCCTCCCTGGAGGAGCGCCTCGAGAGCATCATCAGCGGCGCCGCCCTCATGGCCGACTCTTCCTGCACACGCGATGACCGCAGGGAGCGCATCGTGGCCGAGTGCAACTCTGTGCGCCAGGCTCTCCAGGACCTTCTGTCTGAGTATATGGGCAATGTAAGTGTCTCACCTTTCCACTCCCTACACGGCTTTACAAATACTGTCATACATGGGGCCAGGATCCAAGTGAAGCTTACCGTACCTTGCTTTATGTCCTAAAGAAAAATATCAAGAGTCGTCTAATTCTGTTCCCAATATTTATTTGTGTGCAGTAACACTTCCAGCAACTTACTTACCTTTAGTCAACTTGTGTTGAGAGAGTTAATGTTACTTGAGACCAAATGACAATCTCTCTGTCATTGTCTTCATAAAAGCGCCATCCTGCTTATTAAATGACATCATTAATAATCTATGGAAATTAACTCTGTTACTGCCTCTGAAATATACAGGGCTGCAACCAACAGTCTCTCTTGGTAATCATGTCTTTGTAGTTTGCATATGACCAATCAACCATTAGTTATTGTTAAGTTGTACAATGCTCAAAAAGCAATGAGCCAAGATAAAGAAGCCTCACTGGTGTATTTATGGAGAGAAAGTCTTTACTCGATATGTCAAACTGTTGTGTGTTGGGCTCTCTGGGACACTAGTGTGCTTGGGACCATTTTTCAGTTCAGGCAGATGGCCGTGGGTTCACTGAGGTGCATACACGGAGGTTTGGATGTAGCTTGTATCTTTTTTTTTAAAGATAAATGTTAAGTTAATGCTGTTTTTCTTAATATCAAACTTCTAGTGATTTGGTTTTTACAGCGCATACTTAATAATCTAATTCTAATAATAATATCATAAAAATACAATGCATTACGATGTAGATGTCAGGTTAGGGCTATATTTGCAATTAGGCTTTTTGCACATTCTATAAAAGGAGATTGCATTTATACTCGCAACAGCTGAGCTAAAGGTCGGCCTTGGAGGCTCATCCAGGGCCCCGAAACCCCCAAGGCCACCTCTGGGGGAAACCGAAGCCTTCGGATCACTTCTTAATTGCCTCTGCGACTAGCAGGCTGTGTGACATGTGCTGTTGTTTGTGTTTTCAACTGGAGGAGGGCTGCTTTTCATGGGAACTGTTGGTGTTTAGATCCAGTTGGGTTTTAAGCCGCTATGTGTTGGTACTTCTCAAATTGGGTGGCTGGTGTTGCCAATACCGTCAGTGAACACCTCTCTAAAACTACACGGCTAGAGCTGGATACAGCATTTTCATTGGCAAGTCAGTTCGGCAATGCACCTCGAGTTGTTTGGTAACCGGCAAAAAGCCAGAGGGAGAACTCCTCCTTCGTTCTAGCAGGTTGGTTACGATAACAGTTTTGTCAGCATTAGCAAACAACCAACTAAACCTAACACAAGGGCATGAATGAATCCAAATTCTGAGCTATTAGTGAGTCAGAAGATGTATTATCCTCACAGGCTGCCTCACCCATACATAGCATTCAGTGGTTGAACCGATCAGATAAAGCTCAGACGGAGAACAGCTAACTTCTTTATAACGTCAGTGTAATGGATTTAAAACACGACAGTAAGTGGCTGTTTCTAGACTGCTCACACTGACATGGCTACACTGTCGGGATGATGAAACATGGCACATGTGCCTCGGCGAGATGGACACATTTACACCTTTTTTGTCATCTGTCAGATTTCCTTTGATTTCAGTCGGGCTTGAGTGCTTCTCAGAAACATTTACACGTAGCTTTTTTGAGATCAGATCCAATCCGCATTAAGTGGCGATGTTCAAATGGGGTTTTTAAACAAATGATAAGCTATTATGTCACTGGAATTAACATCACTTTTCAAGGATGAGAGTCTTATTTAGGCTGCTCTACTCTTACTTTTAGCACAAAACAAAAACATGAACCGTGTTGCCGTCTCACCTTTTCTAACCGTTTAGCCAAAGCAATCAAAAGTCCTGTGTCTCTAGTTGATATAATAGTTTCTATAGTGCAGCTCAAACATAGGGCTTTTTATTTCCAATCAGAAAATTAGATTTTGATAATGACTGTGTGTCTTACTCAAACTTCCCCAAGAGATAATGTCTCACTGTGGCGAAGACTTTTGTTCTGGAACGAAACATTATTTCTCCGTGTGCCCATCTCTTGTTCAGATTAGTTCTTCTCTCTGTTTGGAAACGGCTCTGTTAAAGCACTCCTAAATGTCCTCTCTGTAGCAGCAGAGCTTCAGTGTGACCAGAGACATCCCACCGCTGTGCTAATGCCTTATTTACTACCATCTATGAGCTTGAACTTTGTCTGTTTTCTGCTGTTCCTGCTGTTTCTTTTAGAGGTAAAACCGTGAAGCGCACCGCTTTCCCATTTCATTAGTGGAGTGTTACACTGGGTCCTGTGGCTGTAATGGATGTCTGGCCAGCCGGGGTGTGATAGCAGTACAGATTCTAACTCTCACACACACACACACACGCCGCAGTAATTCTACCAGAGCACAAATCTCTGCGTAATGCAAATGCTGCAAATTGATCTCCAATTTGTGCAATGACCCGCTATAGGCTTTAAATGGTGGCCCGCTAATTATTTAGCGTGTGCCTGGCTAACTTGCTTACTGCCTATAGTAATAATCTTCCTAAGCCAAGAGGTAACCTCACATTACGGAAATGCAGTATTTTTGTGGGTCTTTCAGTGGATTTATAAATAGGTCAATTTTGGACCGGCAGATCTGCTGCATGGCTGCCGGGCCAGGTTATTTACTGTCGGAGAGAATTGGGCAATGTCCTCAGCCTGCCTGGTTTATAAGTGGGCAAATCTGCACCCAAAGGTAATCTGTCTCTTGTTGGCTCTTCACCAAACCCTCCATGGAATGCCATTGAATTCTTTCAAGTAGGGCTTTTTTAGGGACTCTACTAAGCAACAGACAAACATACGGGACCAAAAAACAACCTCTTTGGCAGATATAACTGCAAATCAAAACGGTACTTAAATATTAATGACGGTTGTAGCTCTGCAGTTTGGAGAAAGTGGTTTCAGGGTTTTAAAGTATTATTTTGTAGTAGTACGGTCGCAGTTTTGCTCAGTTCGGTATTCCTTTGGGGCCAGTATTTGACAGTAAAAGGAGACATTCATGTCTAACTCCGTGTTTTGTCCTTTTGCTCCATATGGAACTTGTTTACAGTTGCCCTTAGTGATGTCTTGTGATCGTATTTAATGGGATGCATTTGTCATAATACTGTTAGACGTTTGCATATTTGTCTTCAGTGGCATGTTCCACTAAGAGCTGTGGAGAGTTATCACATGAAACCGTTTTGGAGCTGCTGAATGAAACGTCGGTGTCTGTTGGCAAACATGTCTGATTTGATAGCTGCTCGGTTACAAAACCCTGTTTTGGTTTGTTTTCACTGGACATTGACGGACAAAAGGACGACCACTGAGATGTCAACTAAGTTTGCATGTCATTTTCTCTCCTCTTCCTGCCCATGCTCGGCCATCACGGCCACGGTCTGCTCTCATTGCTCATCCAGAACACTACCAGTTTATTTTAAGGTCCGGGCCATTCATGCAGCATCTCTGGTTTGGCTCAAAACAGGTTTTCTCCTTGACTGGACTCCTCCATGCCGCCGTATGACTTAGATCTTAGATCCACGGAGGAGACCGTCTCATCACCGCAGTGATGGTGAGTGGACATGACAGGGATTTGGCCACTTATTGGGCCAGATGGAAGGAAGCCTAATATGTCCGAGTCCACTTCGTGCATTAAATGGCCCGGTACAGCCTCTTAGAACTGCGGCTGACATGCAGTCACAGGGCTCCAGACTGCCACCAAAATAGTCAACACGTGCGAGTTAAAGTTTCACATCGTGGATCGGAGACATCAGCTACTGTCGGCGCAAAAGTTAACTTGACAAGCTTGACTTAGATACGCACGTATAGTTTGTAGCGGTCGAAAACTTTACAAAACGATCCATTCAGCTGTTACCGTGTTCCAAAAAAATAAACGGTCGGTAGCTGTTATTTTTAAAAAGCAAACTGAAGAGGCTGGTGGGGAGACGATGAGATATTCTGACTGAGACGCCACTTATGATGAGAGTGTACGCAGGGAAACACTGACTGATCAGTTTAATACCAGGGGTGGAAGAAGTACTAAGAGTAAAAGTACTGCATTCAAAAGCTTTGCTAGGTAAAACTACGGAAGTATATAATCAACAAAATGTACTTTAATATAAAAGAAAGTAGCATAGTATATTAGATCATTACTGTTATCGATGCAGAAACATGCAAGATGCATTTTAATGTAGTAACTGGCTGCAGTAGAGCTATTTTTATTAATTCAATACTGTTTGGTTAGTTTAATTTACTGTATTACAATGCATTGTATTTCATACACATAGAATGTGTTTTTTATGTGTTGGAGTAGAGTATAGCATGCACATTCTACTTAATTAAATATAGTAGTACTTTAGTAAGTGTATTTGTTGCGTTCCACCACAAAAAAAGGGTGCGACCAAATCATGTGCTGGTGTGACAAACGGAGGAAGTTGGTGGCACCAGTGGAGAAGTGAGTCCTGAGTAAAGTGAGACAGCTGCTCCATTGAAACAATAGCAGACCGTCTGACGGGTAACCTGACTGTATCCCTGATTAAACTTGGTGGACCAATCCCGCCTCCCATTGGCTCGATGAGGATGTGTGTGCTCTCATGCTGAAGCAGAGCTGTGGAGGAGCGATGAAATATGTAATTCATGCTGGAAAGGAAATGCCTTCCTTAAGCAGAGACCATACATACTGCTTTGGCTATACGTGCTTTGATGGCCACCGTTTCGTCTGCATCTATTCTAATAATCGTAGATGGGGCTGTGCGAGTCATTAAAAGCGTCTGCTGCCATTGCAGCATATGGGTTTACACTCACAGCTGAGGCTGTTGGATGGACTCCCAACTCATTCTTTCTCTCTCCCATCCCTTCTGCTTCCTCACGCCCTCCAGCTACAAGTTGTGTTCTTCTTCTCCTTGAGACTCTTTGACAAACCGTCTGTTGGACATCCTTACCTCACCGTCTTTTCGCTCAGAAAGTTCAAGGACTGGATCTTGTGATTTGTTCGTACGTAGCCTGCCAGTCTGCCATAAT